GAGCTAAGCTATCACTTTCCTTTTTGTATTTTTTAATTTTTTATAATATATTTTATTGATTATGCCATTACAGTTGCCCCATTTCCCCCCCTTCATTCCCCTTCACCCAGCACACCCCTCCCACCCACATTCCCCCTGCCTTAGTTCATGTCCATGTGTCATAAGTTCTTTGGCTTCTGTATTTCCCACACTACTCTTGCCCTCCCCGTCTATTTTCTCCTCACTGTCTATGCTACTTATTCTCTGTACCTTCTCCCCCCTTCTCCTCCTCCCACTCCCCTATTGCTAACCCTCCATTTGATCTTCATTTCTATGTTTCTGCTCCTGATCTAGCTGTCCTCTTAGTTTGCTTTTGTTTTAGGTGTGGTTGTTAACAACTGTGAGTTTGCTGTCCATTCACTGTTCATATTTTTTATCTTCTTTTTCTTAGATAAGTCCCTTTAACATTTCACATAATAAGGGCTCGGTGATGATGAACTCCTTGAACTTGACCTTATCTGAGAAGTGCTTTATCTGTCCTTTTGTTAGGAAGTTTTTTATCCTGAGATTCAGAGAGACTTACAGAGATCACTGGCCTTGAAGGTGGATGAACAGGAGGCTGTCCACAGAGCCCAGAGATGGAGAAGGATTAGAATCCTTTCTCCAAACTTCACAGAGACAGGCTTGTGGGGGAGGGCGGGGCTGTGGTCAGCCCAGGTAGAGATTCCTCTGTCTGTTGCTCCCTTGGTAGCAAGTCTCAGGAGGATGGAGGAGAGGGAGAACTAAAGAAGGTCCCCGTATGGGCCACCAACATTGTTAGGGTGGTAGGTGACATGGGCTGTGAAAGAATTCACTAAGAGAAGAAAGTGTAGAGAGGAAGGTTTTTACTCTCCAAGAGAGGAGAGGAGCTTAGTGTGGAGACACACCCGCATTGAGGGGTGAGAGCTCTGAGCTTTTATTGGATTACAATTGGATTAAGAAAGGGGGGTTGCTGCTGTGTGGCCCCTGGGCAGTTGGGGCATCATAACAGGAGGCTGCAGTTTGTTCCAACGTTAACTTCTACCTGTGGCTGTAGGGAGCAGTTAGTTCTGTTCTTGCTCCCAGTAATTTCTAGTCCTGGGGACAAGCTCAGAAAAGTGAAATGGCATCATGTTTAACAAGGTCATAGGCCTGCTAGGCAAATGGTGCCACAATAGCAGATGGGGCTGGCTTTGTCCTTCCAGGTAAGGGTGTCCTCTGACAGAGCTAGAACCTACCTATGACCCCTCTGGCACCTCCAGCTGCCTTGGGGAACCCTCTGATTCTTCTGCTGGTGGCTGTCTGCAGCAAGGAAAACATCCTGTTTAGGATGGGAGCCTGTGCCTAGGAGCCAGATCTGGATCTAACTTACCCTGAGTGAGACACTGGGCCAGCTCTCAGGGCCCATACTCGTGAGTCCCTCTAGGGATCTCGCCTTGCTCACTCCTTAAACCGGGGTGTTTGGTGACTTGGAGCCTGGGGTTCTTCATGGAATTTCCCAGACTGGGGAAGGGATATCAGTTTCAAACAGGATGGAAAACTGCCACCTCAGGCCTCCTCTTCCTCCTCTTTCCTTTGACCTGAGTGCGACTGACATTCTACTACAGGGGACTGGTAGGGTTGGGTATGTCAGACGGCAAGTCTAGACAGGTGGACAGGGGAGTCTGGGCCCCAGGATGGGGTGTGTATGTGTTTTGGAGATGGGGTAGATGAGGGCGGATCCCCGGCAAAGGTCAGTGATGGGAGAGGTGGCTCCAGCAAGCCGGCTGTCCTTGATTGGTGACGGATGCTGGGTTGGGCTGGGTTCTGTCTCTGCTGTGAAGCAGAGGAGGCACTGGAGGGTGGAGAACAGCCCCTTGATGAGGTCACTTCTTGGGTGAGAGTCAAGGTCCCTTTCTGGGGAGGAAAGGCAGCGTCATGAAAGCAGGATTCAGGTTAGACTACCTGAAGGGATAGGTGATGAAGGAAAGGGAGAATGAGGTGTCTCTTCATTTGGGCTGCTTCCCAGGAGGGGAAGAAAAATCCATGCCACCCAGCCCCCCATGCAAACAGTACTATTAGAAGGAAGAGGTAATAGATAGTGAGACCTGACAACAAGGTAGCCTACAGCACCCTGTCATCAGAGTTTTGGGGAATTTGCAGCTAAGGAGACAGCTCTGGGATCTGAAGGCTGGGTCAGTCATTTCCTACCCTGGGACCTCAGTTGCTCCTCTGTGAAATGGGGAGAATCTCCTCGGTCCTTGTCTAGCAAAGACAAAATGTTCCCTGACCTGGTCACTGAAGACCAGTGAGTCTCCCGTACAAGTTCCTTTTGAAGTCCTGAAGAGCTAAGAGAAAACACAGCTGAAATTGGGCTGAATGGGGTAAAGAACAGGGAGCCTGGACCTAGCTGTTGGGGGCAGAGTGATGCTTTAGGATGCAAGTAAGCTGATCAGACATCGGTACTTGAAGGCCCCCATGACAACTGGGAAACATTCTGACCCTGCCTTCCCAGACATTTTGAGGCTCTGATTTAAGCACCTCTTATCAGAGTCTCATTTCCTTAATCCTGTCTCTTTGCCCCAAAGACCCTCCATAAACCTTCCCTTATTTCCTTCCTGAAATATTTCTGGAGTGCCTTCCATCTGCCAGGTATTTTCTAAGGGAGGGGAAGGTGGAGATGGATTAGGGAGGATGCAGAGGTAAACAAGATTGTTGGCCCTTGTGTTTTCTCCCTGAGGGACAACAGGCAAGAAAATAAGTGTGGCAGCTTCACCTGTACTGGCTCTGAAAGAGACAAGCCCAAATAGCTGTGGACACAGAGAAGGTACCACGTCCAGCCCAGGGAAGGACAGGGCAGAGGTAGCATGGACCCTGAGTCTGTAAGGGCCAGTTGACCTGGGCCAGGAGGCCATGGGAGGTGGCGAAGGTTTTGGAGCCACCCACCAGGCTCACAAGAATTAATTAAGTTCTCAAAAATTTTGTAAACTGCTTCTTAAACACAGCCATTCTTGAAAATTAAATTATATAAATGTATCATTACATAAATTATTGTTTTAAATAATTTATTTATTGAATAATCAAACTCATCACTTCCTAATTGTTATTACATTTTACTGTTATCTGTGCTTTTGAAATTACTTACACCTACTGAATCTCTAAGGTGGAGACACTATTTAAGGGTGTGCTGTTACTCATTGTTTCCCAACTCCTTGTTCAGCGACATCACGTTGCTAGTTTGAAATTGGCCATGTGACAGTATTTACATCGTTGACGTGGACTAACACTACAAGTCAGGGCTCACTTCATTGTTTGGATTGATTGCACGGAACAGATGTTGACAAACTACATAGCCTGCAGGCCAAATCCAGCCTGTGAGTGAGAATGGTTTGTTTGTTTGTTTGTCTGTTTGTTTGTTTGAGGGAGAAAGAGGAAGGGAAGGAGGGAGAAAGAGGAAGAGAAGGAGAGAGAGAGAGAAACATAGAGAAACAGAGAAACATGGATTTGTTGTTCTACTTATTTATGCATTCGTTAGTTGATTCTTGTATGTGCCCTGACAGGGGATCAGACCTGCAACCTTGGTGTATTCGGATGATGCTCTAACCAGCTGAGCTACCCTGCCAGGGCTATATCAGTAAAATTTACAATGTATGTATTTATACAGATACATACATTTTTTCCCCAGAGACCTAGTTGTTAAGCATTTACCAGCACACCATGGGATGGACGGTTCCAGGCAGAGAGGGTTGAGGGGAGTCCAGATGTGGAAGGCAAAGCGGGAGGGGACGTGTTGAGGTTCGAGCCCTGGGACAGATGCGACAGCACTGTGAGCAGAGCGGGGAGGCCAGACGCCATCCTGAGGGCCGTGCGGAACCACAGAAGGATTCTGAGTGCTGGAGACACCCAGTCAGATTTATGTTTGGAAGATTATGTTGACAGCTGTGTGGAGATTGGATTGTTAGGGACAGATTGAATTGGTGGAGGAAAGAAGAGCAATAGCAAATTCTTAGGAGTGCTTACTACAGGCCAAGCCGGCTCCTAAACCCTCCATGAGTCTTATTAGCTCACTTTATTCACAGCAACTGAGTGCAGTAGATAGATATTCTTATCTCCTTTTTACAGATGAGGAAACTGAGGTACAAAAAAAATTAAATAATACATAAGCAGTGGAGCTGGGATTTGAACCCTAGAGTCTGGCACCAGAGGCCACACTCTTAACCACTATATGTTATGTTTTTAGACTAGAAGGATAGTGAGGTTTGGAGTGAAGTTTCTTAATGATAATGCATGTACAAAGTTGACCATGTACAGACAGTTATGACTCAAATATAGCAGAAGCTTGAGGGCGTTCTTCAGACCCAGCAGGTCTTGACTCGGTGATAATGGGGCCGGAGGGGCCAGGTAGGGGGGTCTTACTAGCTTCCCTCACCTGCTGGATAACACTGTCACCGGCCACTTTGGTCTCCCATTCCTCTGTCCATGTTTGTAGACTGTCTCTGTCTTCAGGGAGGGCCCAGTCTGGAGGACGAAATCCTGAGCAGGCATACACAGGCGGGAGAGGGCAAGAGGGGACAAAGCCTGTTTGGCCCTGAATGGGCCCTTGACTCAAGTGTGTGTAAGTTAAGAGGGCCGAGAGGTGTGGATTGTCATTGACAAGAGGGCTCGCACGGAGGAGGCGCAGATGGGAGGCTTGGGGTTTGGACAGGGATGAGGACAGGTGCATTCTGCTGCCATCCTGGTTTCCCCTAGGGCATCTGTACTAATAGCAAAAGTTGGATGGTGGCCCTCAAGGTACAGTGACAGGTGACAGCTCCACTGCAGATACCTGGGTAGGAATATAATCACACATATGAATTTGAAAGGAATAGAGGTGCCTTTTTTTTACTATACGGGGGCTTTAACCAACTAAGCTACAGCGCCTTTTTTCTTTTTAAAGATTTTATTCACTTTAGGGAGAGAGGAAGGGAGGGAGAAAGAGAGGGAGAGAAACGCCAATGTGTGGTTGGCTCTCACGTGGGCCTGCAACCCAGGCATGTGCTCTGACTGGGAATCGAACCGGCAACCCTTTGGCCCACAGCCTGTGCTCAGTCCACTGAGCCACACCAGCCAGGGCAGAGGTGCCTTTCTGTCATGAGTCCTGGCTGAGGGCATGGGCAGGAGGTAATAAGGTAAAAGTAGAGGGTTGGAGGTGCTGGAGGCTGGTGGCAGGGCGGGCTCCACTTGGGGTGTTGGTCCCCCGAGGCCATATTTGTCAGCTCGGGGCTTCCCATGCAGCTGGCTCAGCAGATCCCACGGTTTAGCAGGTGACTCACCCTTCACCCTCACATGGCCCTGGTTCAGGAAGGGGCAGGTGTGTGTATGCAATGGAGCACCTATGTGTTCATCTCCATGGGACACGTGCTATGTTACATGCCTGAGTTTGTGTGTGTGCCCATGTTTGACGGTGCATACAGGACAGAAAGTCCCCGTGCACATAGGCCGTGTGGGCCGTGCAAAGATGTGGGCCACAGGTGTGGAGGGTGCACGTGGCATGAGGTGGAGGGCTACAGTGGACACACGGCTCTTCCCAAAGCACTTGTGCGTGGGTGCTGGTGTCTCCCTGAAAGATCGATGCAGCTTTGGAGCCTGGCAAACAATCAGAAAAGGAGGCCCGGGTGGCGGGCGGGTGAGAAGTCTCCTGATGACAGCTTATCCTCTTCAAGGAGGGCTTGGCTGGGCCAGCTAGCAGAGCTGGGCGCTCTAAGCCCATGGTGACAGGAGCGGTTTCTCTAGGCTTATCCCTTAAGCCTCTGGCTGCAGGCCAGGGCGGCTCCCTCATCCTAACCCTGAGAGGGCATGCGCACTCCGCAGGCCACACAGGCAGGTCAGGAGTGTGGCAGACAGGCAGGTGTGGAGCCAGAGCTTTCTCTTACTTTCTCTCAGGCTGGAAGGACATAAGGGTCCAGGTGGTGCCTGGTCTACGGGAGATAGGAGAGAAGCATGTTAGCCTTAGGTTGCCTGCGCCCCTGCTCTGTGTGCATTCGGTGCACTGGTACCCCATGTGCTTACATACCCACATCTGGGTGTCCTGGCCCCTACCACGGCTCCAGCGCCCTGCTGCCGCCTTCCCATCATGCTCCATGATCTGAGAGAGGCTTGAAGTTGGGCAAAGAGCCTGGGCTAGGAGCCAGGAAACCTGGGTCCTACTCCAAGATGTTCCTTTACTTTTTCTGGGACTCAGTTTTCCCACTGTGAAATGTGGAGGGACAATAATCCCCATGGGGCCCCCTCGAAAGGCTGTTGGTGACAGATTTTCATGGAGGTTTTTGGAGAGCCAGGATGGCTTGGTCTTGGGGGCCTCGGGTGGGGAATGGCGGCATTCCCTGGGCTGTTCAGGGGAAGGATGAGGGGTTGAAAGCAGATAAGAATCTCTAAGAACTTGCCTTCTGGGCTCCAAAGGGTATCCAAATCTCTTAGAGAAGCGAGACATTTAGTGTTCTGGGGCTAAGCTTCAAAACAAATTAAAGTCACAGGCCAAGACAAGCCCGAGGTGAGGCTGGGAAAGTCTGTCCACCCCTCCCCGGCCCCCCCAACATTGCTGGCCTGCTGGGGGTGAGCGGCAGCATCCCCCAGACTGAGGTTGGGAACCGCCTCACAGCTCTCCCAGCCTCTCATCCCTCCCCACCCAGCAGGTCCCCACTCCGCACCCACACCCCCAGCTTGCTGTCTCTCAGGCTCACACTTCCCCCAGTTCAGAGTTTTCATCCTGGGGCCGTAGGCTTAGCCAAAGCAAACAGACAGCACCAAAGTCAACAAAACAAGACAGGAGGCAGCATAAGTGATGTGAAAAAGAAAACTTGGAAGCCGCAATGAAGGCATGTGGGCTGGGCTGGCGTCTCCCCTCAGAGCAGGACCCTGGGGCTAAGGGTGATCCTGCCATCATCCCTTATGGGGAGAAGGATGGGACTCATGGCCAAAGGAGTCAGGTTAGACCGCCAACAGGGGGCGCTAGTGCCCAGTCTTACGGGTGCCATTAAAAAGCGTGTGGTTGAAAGGGGGAGTATTTCGACCCCCCACCCCACTGAAGCCCTAGTCTAGGTTGCCTCAGCTGCTGCAGGAAACAAGTGAGAGTATAACTGGGGGTCAGGGCTGTGTGTGGGAGCAGTCAGGGCACGAGCAAACAGGCTGGAACAAGAGCAGGAGTGAGGAGCTCCCGGCTCTCTGCCCTGCCCAGGCTGTTCGCCCCAGGGCTCAGGGTCTCTGAGCCACGCATGCCAAAACCCCCACTCCATCGCACCCACAGGCATAGTCACTTGACCTGACAACCTAGCTCTCCCCCACTCAGGGCAGGGGGAGCTCGGTTTTCTCATCATACATTTATTGTGCATCTGCTATGCACAATATGCTCTACAGGCCAGGTCATCACCGGGAGGCTGCCCGCCAAAGACCTTGTCCTGCCTGAATCTCCCAGCCACTGGGTGAGGTTGTTGATTGAGCTGGTGATTGTAGGTCTGTGTTCGCCCCCAGATCCAGGAGGCACCAGGGAGTCAAGGTCAGTGAGCTGAGTGGCCAGTCTGGAATGGCAAAGCCTGGGAGACCAGATGCACCCACCTGGAGCAGCTGGAGATCTGGGTGGAAGTCCATGGGCTTTGATCTTGCTGCCTGTGGAATGAGCATAGGAATATTCCACCCGCAGCCCTTCTACCTGGCCCTGGGGTCAGGCACGGCAGGGGGTGTTAGGGCAGGGCCCCCTTCCTCAAACAGGCATCCTCTCTACCACAGAGTGTCAGTTCTCCAGCAGGCACTTGCCACACCTCTTATCAACTTGATCTACTCTCCCAACAACCCTGAGAGGTAAGGATTAGTATCTCTATTTTACAGATGAAGACACCCAGTTAAATACCTTGCTCAAAGTTACCCAAGCCAATTAAGAGGCTGAACTGTTTTCAAGCTCAGATTGCCTGGCTATAAAGCCTGAGCTATGAACCACAGCTCACCATCTGGGTGGGGGAGCCCCACCTTCCCACTCTTGATAGCCAAACTGTGAACCAGACCCAGACTCAGGTGCCTGGCCAGCAGGTCCCTGGGTTTCCCATTGCTCCTTCTGCCACCATTTCACTCTTTCAATATTCTTGCAAAGTCTCTCTGATCCTGACTCCCCTCTTTGCTCTGACTAATCGGGTACTAGAGACTCCACTATTATTAGACCTTTCTTTTCTGTGGGTTAAGAAATTGCTGTCCAGAGCTTCTTTAAAATGCTTTAGTGTGAAAGAATTTTGGAATTGATTAAGGCAAAAATCAAAGGATGAAACTGGGAGGTGAACAGCTGATGGGGAAACTTGACAGTGGGAGGGTCAGGCTCCCACCCCCTGAAGCCACTGACTGGCCTGCACCACCGAGCAGGGAGCTAGACATCCTGTGCCTCCGCGTGGGATGCAAGAGGAGGCGCGCAGCACTGTTCACAAGGGACTCCCCCTGCCCCCCAGTCTGAACCTAAATAAAATCACACCATTAGAGCTAACTTGCTGTATATTCTGAGAAATACAGGAGATGAAGAAAAAGTTAGATGACACCACAAGGAAGCAAACAGACCAATCTAGAAAATGGACTTTCTATAGAACCATATTTATTCCACAAGTCAGTGACATGAACAAATAATAGGATGAAAGGGGAACTGCTCATGTTTGAGAGAGCACTTAACCTGCCCTGGCTGGTGTGGCTCCATTGGTTGAAGTGTTGTCCTATAAACTGAAAGGTCATGGGTTGATTCTCGGTCAGGGCACATGCCTAGGTTTTGGGTTTGGTCCCGGTCAGGGTGCATAGAGGAGGCAACTGATCATCTTAAGGTTTCTCTCCCTCATTTTCTCCCTCCCTTATCTTCTCTTTAAAATCAACAAGCATGTCCTCAGGTGAAGATGAAAAAAAAAGAAAAAGAAGAGCACTTAACCCTAGTAATGTGTGATTTTGTTTGGATCCTGGCCCAAACTAACAAACTAATTAAAAAAGGCATTTTGAAACAGCCGTGGGTACTTGATAATTCCATGAATTATTCATTTTGTCAGGTATGGCATTGCGATTATGTAAGAAAACGTTCATTTTAGAGATGAATATTGAAGAATGCAGAAGTGAAATGACATAATGGCTGGGATTTGTTATAAAATGCTTCATAAAAACAGAAAAAACTAGAGCAAACAGTTTGGGAGCAGTTTAGATACGGCTGGGTTGGAGCAGGTGGAGGCAGACAGTCCGCTTAGACGTAAGGGAGAGAGGGCTGTGGGTCATTTGCCGCAGTGGGCTGAGGCCTGCGCTGGGGAGAGCACCCGGGGGATGGCGCTTTGGGGAGGCCGGAAGGGGCGGGGACGTGCAGGCCACGTTCTCCGGGCACGGTGCCTGCGAAGATGTTCTTTTTAAAAGCCCATAAAAATTGTCTTCTTTTAAATTAAGAAAAAAAAAATGAACTTGTAGGTTGAAAAAATCTTTCAATATGCAACATTAATATATTCATCTTTATCTCAGCACAGTTGTAAGATACCGTTCAAAGCAATGTTCATTTACTGATTTGAAAGAGAGAGAAACATCAGTGAGTTGCTCCGCTCATGCATTCACTGGTCGATACTTGTATGTGCTTTGACCAGGGGTAGAACCCACCTGCAACCTTGGCATATCAGGGTGACACTCTCACCAAGTGAGCTACCCGGCCAGGGTATAAAATATGTTCTTTATTTCATCTTTTTAAGGAGGAGGGTGCCCACAAGGCAAAAGTGGCAAGAGCTATGAAAGTCAGAAGTGGCCCTAGGGTGGAGAGGTGCCTGCTCAGAGATGGACCATGAGCATGCAGGAAGCCACTAAGCCTGCACTTTGGGGGACAGTCCCACAGGGGTCATGGTTCTCCCTTCATTCTGCATTCTATTCAACACAGATGCATTAGGGTATCCTCTCCCTGGGCCAGGAGCCAGGACATCTGGGTTTGACTCACTCTGCATCCTGGGCTGTGCCCAGAGCAGAAGAGACTGTACCTGCCTGCCTAGCCCAGTCTGGCCCAGCCTGCACCCCAGGGACCAGTGCGAGCGTGGGAGGATCCTCTACTGATGCTGGGAGGGGCCCAGAAACTGGCAAGGCTACACCCTCCTTGGGGTCCCAGTGTTCCACTGAGCCTTCCTGGCTGAGATGCAATGCCTGTAGGTGCCCTGCTCCCTGCCTGCACAGACCTCTCTGCACAGGCCCTTGGTGTAATCACTATGTTCTTGAAAAGCTGTAAATAAAATCCCACAGGATGGCATGCTTTCCTGCTGAAGAGAGATAACCTGTGATTGTTTCCTCTAGGTCTCTACTCCCTGTTTGTCCTCAGTGGAATGCCTGTGTTTGGAGAGGCCTTGGGATTTGGACAAGAATAGGGGAGTGAGGAGGTAATGAAGGGAGTCACTGGCCTGGCCCATTTGTAGGGAAGAAGGGAGGGTGCCCAACTTGGGGAGACCTCAGTGTAAGTGGGGAGGTAGGGCAGTCACATCGCATCAGGGCTGCCAGGCCACCGGGCCTGCCCACTTTCTCAGGCTGAGCAGGAGAGGGTAGAAAGAGTAGCTTACCCTGGGGTGGCTGAGATGGGCTTTGTGCCCACCTCAAGCCCCCTGTTCCAGGCCCATAGCTCCCGGCCAGATCAGATAGGGCACGTTCCTGCAGTGAGCTGCCCACTGACTGGGACTGTGCTGACGCAGGCAGGAAAATATTAACCCAGTGGAATAGGTTCACAGTCATGTGTGCAGGACTCTGTGAGTATGTGCGTGTGTGTGTGTATGAGAGAGAGACACACACACACACACAGAAACACAGAGACTCAGAGAAAGCAAATATAGAGCAATTTTCACATGTAAGACCAGAGATATGCACGTGCACACATACACCTGCCCATTCACACACTTGTTCACACATATACAAAGATGCAAATACTTTCTTTTTATATGTGCAAATTCCTTCAGTGTCATCTCCCAACTTTGTTGATGAGACCCCCTCCTCCAGGAAGCCTTCCATGAAATCTCCAGCTCATACTAGAATGTAACAGGCCTAAGCTCTCTGCCTGGTTTCCAATGCCAAATTAGGCAGTCTGACAGGAGCTGTAGAGTGCAGCAGGACTGGGTTTGAGTTCTGGGTCTTTGCCCTTGGCAAGTGACTGTGCCTTCTGGCTCTGCTCTAGTCTTTGTTCACTCTGTCCTGGAGGCCCAGGCACGACTCTGAGAAGGGAGGATAAGAACTGGGGCTGGGGGCCTGGTTATTGCAGAGGGTCAGGGTTAAAGGTCACCCTGGGTCCTGTCTGTGCTCTTCCCCCTCAGTCCTGCCCCAGACCAGCCCCTCAACCCCCGGTTCTGTCTGGGAGGACCCTGGCCTGCTGGGGCAGGGGCAGGGCCCTGACTGGATGTTCTGGCTCTGGGTGATCTTGGGCAAAGTTGCTATCTTGTACTGAATCTCATTTTCCTCCCTAAAAAATGAGTTTGAAAGGGGACACTCACCTGGGTGAGACTTAAGTGTCTTCTCTCTTTTTGAGCAGAATGAGAATCTCATGAACTTCAGGTGATTTCAGAGACCAGGGCTCCTTTCCTGCTGATTGAGACCATGGACTCCTCAGTTACACAATGGGTTCCTGGGGCTCAAGAGGCTCTGGAAAACCCCAAGTCTAAAGTAAGTTGATGGAAAGCAGTTTGCATGATGAGGAAGTTAGTCAAGTGGCAGGTTGGTTGAAACAAATTATTAACTAAAATGATTAGCTTTTTACATATCAGCCCTTTGAGGGGCATTTTGGGGAAGTTCAGAAAATTTTTAGCATCTTTGGGTATTTTCATCTAATTTTTGAAAATTTCTATTTGTGTGCACACTCCTTACCAGGTTTCAGTGAGCTGTGTCTGTCCCATGCTATTTATAGTAAAGGAAGAGGTGGGCACGTTAAAAATTCTGTGTGCACAGTCCCACGTGTGATGTGGACGTGGACCTTTTGACACCCAAAGTTCTTTTGAACAAATGTTTGAATGAAGAAAGTGCGGTACAAAAACCTGGTATAAATTTCATTCTACTTATTGTTGACAACGTGGGGAGGGGAGGTTTACACGTGTGCTCGTGAAAAAGGGTGAGAAGGACACTTGCCAAACCGTCAGCAGGAGTTTTCGTGGAGTTAGGAGTTGTCATGTCTTTTAAGGTTCTCTCGGTTTATTTATATTATAGGTAATAAAAGAATAAAAGGATCTGAGATTTAAAAATCTGTTTTCTATTTAAAAAAATTTTCCACTCCAAGGAGAGACAACTGTATCTGCTTGACTTGCTTGACTGTGTGGTCATAGGTATTCAAGTGTTCAGTTAGGTCAAGCACTGACAGTCCCCATTTGCCAGTTCGAGTGGTAAGATTTTTAGTGTCATGAATGAGAAATGGGAGATTGATGAGCATGGGGTTATTCTAACCTTTTGCTAGTAAAAGCAATGAATTGCAGGCAAAATTAGAATGAGAAAACTGAACAATTTCTGAAAGAGTACTAAATGCCTAAAGAAATACCAGAGTTTGCAAAATACCAATTCATTATCAACCAATTTAGTTTTTCAGTTGAATTCATTGGGGTGACACTGGTTAATAAAATTATATCGTTTTCAAGTACACAATTCTACAGCAGATCATCTGTTCACTGTATCGTGTGCTCACCACCCCAAGTCAAGTCTCCTTCCATCACCTTTTATCCCCCCTTTACCCTCTTCAACCAAATTAGTTTTTTAAAAAGATTTTATTTATTTTTAGAGAAAGGGGAAGGGAAGGAGAACGAGAGGGAAAGAAACATCAATGTGTGGTTGCTTCTCAAGTGCCCCCTACTGGGGACCTGGCCTGCATCCCAGGCGTGTGCCCTGATGAGGGCTCGAACCAGCAACCCTTTGGTTTGCAGACTGGCGCTCAATCCACTGAGCCACACCAGCCAGGGCCAACCAAATTAGTTTTGACTTAATGGTCTATTGCTGACTTCATAAACATTTTCCTGGGGCCCATCTGGATGCCAAAGTGGCTAGGTGGGAGAACCATGTATCTGCCAACCCCATTTCACAGATGAGAAAGCAGAGGCCCAGCGGCAGGGACTGAGCCAAAGTTGTGCAGTGAATTTAATGCCCAGTTAGGACTTAAACCCAGGTCAGTGTGCAAAGCATCTGGAAGGGACTTCACTGCAGCTCACAGCTAGGACACCCAGTTAAATTTGAGTTTCAGAGGAACAATGGATAGTGTTTTAGTATAAATAGGTCCCAAATATTGCAAATACTGTTTTTCTAAAATTTGAATTTCGCTGAACATCTTGCATTTTTCCTAAAGATTTCATTTGTTTATTTATTTTTAGAGCAAGGGGAAGGGAGGGAGAAAGAGAGGGAGAGAAACATTGATATGCAAGAGATACACACCCCCATCTGGGGACCTGGCCCACAATCCAGTCATGTGCCCTCACTGGGAATTGAACCAGTGACCTTTCAGTTTGCAGGCTGGCACTCAATCCACCGAGCCACATCAGCCAGGAAAAGTGTCTTGCATTTTATCTGGTGGCCCTACTCAGAGTCTACCCTGTGAAGGTAGGACCCCAGGTGTCTCCTCTCGGCCTCCCACACATACCCATTGGCCCCAGAGGTCACTCCAGGTTCTATACCCAACTGTGACCCAAATGCCCAAACTCCTGGCCCCTTTAGCCGCCTCTCTTCTCTCCACAATTGGACTTCCTGCCTCCTCAGCCATCACTTCTTCGGCGCTGTGGCCACCCTCTCTGTCCCCCCAGCTGATCAGGACGGCCCCCTGTCGCACCCAACTCTGCGGCCTCTGACCTCCCGAGCACCTGGTAGCCTGTTGGCAGCCCGGTGCGTGGGTTTCCGTCTCCTCCTTACCTGCTCCTTCTCAGTCACCCTCCTGTCCCCAGAATCCCGCCCCTGTCCCTTGCTCCACGACCTCACACCTTCGGGCAATCCCATCAACCCCCATAGTGAATGCCCAGGTGCTGATAACTTTTGTTCTCTTTTCTTTCTCCAGCTGGACCCTCTCGCAAGCTCGGGCCCAGCCGTGCCTCTGTATGCTGGATGTTCAAGGGCCTCAAGGGCCTCCGGTTGGCTCCTTTGCTCTTCTCTTTGCTTAGAACTCTTCAGTGGCTCCCCAGGCCCTTGGGATAAAGTCTGATCTCGTGTCCTTCAAGGTTTGCCCCTGCCCACTTCTCCATCCCTCCTTCTGCAAGCCACTCACCTCTTCCAGAAGACATTAAGTTTTCTCAGAATCCCACTGGGCTTCAAATGGCTTCAAATCATCACCCCATCTCACCCTCCCCATCGCCTGGGTGGACTCGGCTCCCATGTCATCTCTTCTGGAAGATTCTTGACCCCCTTCAGGTTGGCTGGCTTAGCTACTGCCTGTATTCTCTCCACCTTATCACAGTGTATCCTAAGTCATCTGCCATTTCTCTCTCTCTCTCTCCCAAGAGACAAATGGGACAGTGTTTTCTCCACCGCTGGTCCCCAGCACCCAGCCTAGTAAATGAGCTTAACCTCTGACTCCAGCATGGGTCTCAGTCCCCTCCCTCACCAACCTGACCCCAGCCCAATCCAACTTTGCCCGAACTCTAACCTCATTCTAGACCTCAGCTCCACTTTTATTTTTTCAAAGATTTTATTTATTTATTTTCAGAGAAAGAGGGAAAGGGAGGAGAAAGAGAGGGAAAGAAACATCATTGTGTGAGAGAAACGTCAGTTGGTTGCCTCTTGCACACCCACAAATTGGGACGCAGCCGGTACCCCAGACACGTGTCCTGACTGGTAATTGAACTACTGTAGAACCACACCAGCCGAGGCCTCAGCTCTATTTGTGACCCTTACCCTATCCTCATATCAATAGCACACACAAGAAAGGAATAAAGACATGTGTCCCCTGGGGTAGATCCTCCTGTCCTGAAGGACGGACTTCGCATTCTGAAGCCACTTGAGTCCGCAGAGGTGAAGGGTGTAGCCTCAGCATGAGGGCAGTGGGAGAGTTCATTCCTTAAGGATGAGTTCTGACTTGGAGAACTGAGGCTGACCCCTGCCTCTCCCTGAAGAGTGACCTGCAGGGCAAGTTGGGGTGGGGACCTGGGCAACCCGGGCTCCAGACCTGGCCCAGTCTACTGGCACCCTCTAGAGGACGGTTCTATTACCAGAGCTGGCTTTGAGCAACCAACTCTTACTCACACAGCCTTCCCACGGGAGAGGCTGCCCGGCCTCAGAAGCTCCCTGGACTATCCTGCGCACCAACAACCATTGTTCTGCTTTGCCACCGGTCACCCACTGAAATCCCACATTCCTCCTCCACGGAGGCCCCAACGTACCCCAGCTCCAGAAGTCCTCTCAGAAGGCAGCGGGTCCCTGGGCTTGCTCCTGACCCCGCCGTAGTCACTGAGCTCCTGTGCCCCAGGTCAGAGCCCCATACTCTGGTTGCCTTCGGTTCCTTCCCAGGGGCCTCGCTTGCCATTCCCAACGGAAGCATTTTCAAGGACAGAGCCTACATTTCCCCCTCCCCTGCTCAGGCGGGGGCTCCCAGAGAATGAGACCCAGGCTTCTCCTCCCATACCCCAGACTAGAGACCCCCAGGGGTCTAGGCTTGGCTTTCTACCTCCCCTCTCAGACGGGGGTTTCCCTGCAAAAATGGCTATGCGCCCTCCTTTCCCTCACACTGGGGAAGTCCAGGGCCTGAATCCCCCTTGCTCTTTCAGAATGGGGGCTCTCTGAGAACTGACCCAGGTTCTCCTCCCCTGCTCTTCCACCTTGCTGCTGATCTCTAGAACTTTCCAATCCACGTTCTGGGCCGCTCTCCCCACAGCCAGACACTCGGGAGCCTTTGGAGCCTCCCATGGGTCTGGGGCCTGGGAGGGCTTCCTCTGGCTTTGGGCTGGACCCTTGGCTTGGAGGATAGGCCCTTCCTCTGAGACCATGAGGCCGAGCGCCCACCCGGAACACCACCTCTGACCACACAAGCGTTGTCTCAGAACCCGGTTTCCGTGGCACCGCTGGCGGGAGAAGGGATGCTATTTTGGGCAGTTCATCTGGACTTGGCTCAAGTGACACGGGCCAAACCCCTGCCCCACTGACCTCTCCCCTGGAGGAGCAGAGCAGAGCAGCACTTGGAGCCGCTCCCGAGGAGGGCTGAGAGGCGGGTCCTAGACTGGGGACACAAGGACAGCAGAGCCCCAGCTCAGAGCCTGGGACGGTCATGGGGGAACAAGACCAAGACCGGCTGTAACTGAGAGGCCCCCAAGGTGGACACCGAGAAGCAGAAGGCACTTCAGCAGAGTGAGTCTGCTCTGGGCGTGGCTGGCAGCCTCCCTGGCGGCCCAGGCTTTGGGATGACACTCCCTGGGGACTATTTGGGGACACGACCATGGGACTGTCTGGGGAAGGAGCCTCAGCTGGGAGGTGAAAGCCTGGGTGTCTATTCTGGTGTAGTCCTGGGTTGCTGCAGGACACTCTCTCTGGGCTTTGGTTTCCTTACCTGTAAATTGAATGTCGGAGGATCAGCAGTGGAGCCAAGATTGGGAGGGTGTGTTCCACTGGGCTGTCAGCAGGGCATGGGGTGGGGGATGTGGACCAGGGGAGTGTGGAGACCAGCTAGACTGAAGCAGAAGGGATGCAGATCAGAAAGATGATTTGATTTCAGCTTCCAGGTCCCTCCCCTGGAGTCCTCCTTTGAGAGACTGGGGCTGGGGCTTAACGGTTTCTGCAGTCAGGGCTAGGGTCGTGACCGTATTGCAGCCGAAGGAAATTGGGCTGGAGAACAGCGGGGACAGACAGGATAGGGAAACCCAAGGATTTGCAAGGAAAATGGGAATACAAGGAATTTCCAGGAATAGTGAGAAAAAAACTTTGCTCTGAAGTAGGGGTATGGACTAAATGAATTTTTAAGACCGCATCCTTGTGTGTGTGTGTGTGTGTGTGTGTGTGTGTGTGTGTGCAAAGAAGAAGCCCTAGAAAGTCAAGTTTAAGTCAGCAGCAAGAGAGCTTGAGGTTAGACTAATTAGAGGCAATTATAGTGGCAGCTCTGAGGGAGGAGCCACTGAGGGGAGTCGGTGGGCATCTCCACTGTCAGAAGTGGACTTGTTGCAGATACGGGAAGGAGCTCTGAAGGGCCTGGTCCGGAGGTCAGGGGTCCTAAAGCCAGCGTGGGTAGAGGGGGTGGGACTCCAGGGCCTCATCCCATTGGCTGAAGCACATCCAACCCACCTCTACTCCCTGCCAGGTTGGCTGGGTTGAGGGGTTGGAACTGGCAGCGGCTGGCCCCGTGGCTTCTGCCCCTGGAACCTGAGGTCTGATGAGAATGCGGAGCCAGATTCTGTGCCCCCCCCCCAGCCCTAGTGACCGCTCTTTGGTTCCACAGCATCTAAAAATCTCTGACAGAATATGACTCAAGCAAACAGGAAGAAGCGGTAAGCACCCACTCCCCCCCTACACCAGCCTCCCGTCTCCCACCCAGCCCACCCAGTGCCCTCTCTGCTCCACCCTCAGCTTCTCCCTCATGTCAGTTGATGCCCTCAGTAGCTCAAGGGGCCCAGAAGGGCCTCTCCCACCGGCACCCATAGCCAAGCACAGGCTGGGCCCTGGGGTGAGGGGAGGCCCAGAAAGACCCGGTTATGGGTTACTGGGTTGTCAGTGAGTTCCAAGTCCCTGTATGGAGGTGATGCTCCACCGAACTGAACTCACTTCCTCTCATCCTCTCAGGTTCAGGTTTTTGGGGGTGAAATAAAAGCCAACATCCTTGCTATGGCCGAGCCCCTACCCACTTAGTTTCCTCTCTGACCTCCCCCTCCCCCAACCCCCACTCTCCCCACTCCGGTCACACTGACCCCCCTTCCTTACCTCCAAACATGCTGAGTCCCTCAGTGACCGTTCCTTCTTCCCGAAACACTCTTCCCGCAGTCAGTCACAGGCTCACTCCCTCACCTCCTTCATGTCCTTGCTCAAGCGCCACCTTCTCCATGAGGCTTACCTTGACCGCCCTATTTGAAGTCACACCCCACTCCTTTTCCTTGCTCTGTCTTTCCCTGTAGACATACTACTTTCTAACACACAAATGTACTTGCTTATTACATTTCACTGCTGCCTGTCAGCTGCCCATGAGCAGCGATGTTTGTGTGTGCACAGTCCTGGGTGGGGAGAACGGGCGCGTCCCCCTCTGTGCTCACGACACCGCTGCCTGCAGCCGAGGGCCCTCCCGGGGCTTTCAGACCCTGTTTCCAAAGACCCGCTGGCGTCCTGCCTGCAACTCAGCCCCAGTTGGAAACAGATTCCTCCGCTCCCGCCAGCCCGCTCCTCTCCTCCGGTCCCAACTCAGTCTAAGGTCCCCTTCTCCTTTGCTGCTCAAGCCAGAAACCAAGACTTTGTCTTTGACACTCTGTCTCCTCCAGGCCGCACGTCTAGTCACCGGTTTCCTAAAACACGTAAAACCTGCTCACCCTCACCATTCTTCCTACCACCACCCTATTCCCCCACAGCCACTTCAGGCCATCCTCTGCCTATTTGTAAAAAAAAATAAATTTATTGAGGCGACACTGGTTAATAAGATCATACAGGTTTCAAGTGTACATTTCTGTGATATATGATCTGTCTGGTGCGCTGTGTGCCTGCCACCCAAAGTCACCAGGTATTTGACCCTCTTTACCCTTCACTCCCCTATTCCCTCTCCCCTCTGGTAACCACCACGCTGTCGTGTGTGTCTCTGAGTTTTTGTTTGTTTTCCTTGTTTGCTCATTTGTTGTCTTTAGTTTTATATTCCACATATGATTGCGATCATATGGTTTTTTTCCTGTCTGACTTATCTCGCTTACCATGATAGTCTGAAGATTCATCCATGTTGTCGCAAATGGCGATGTGTCACCTTTTCCTGTGGCCGAGTAAGTGCTCCTTGTGTGTATGAACCCGGCCTTCTTCACCCAATCACGCCCATTCTTCAAAGGGCTCAGGCCACGCCTCCTGGCTGGGGCTTCTCACCTGCGACGGGGCTGCCATGGCCCACCTCGCTCACTGCACAGAGCGTTCCCAGGGTGGAGCCTGAGTTTTTACTTTGTATCTCTGCGGCCTGACTCACTAGTAGATGTTCAATAAACATTTGTTGAATGAATAACTGTTAGTTAGCAGGTTGGATGGTCGGCTTGGGGTGAGTTGGATAGTTTACTGTTGGTTGGTTGATTAGATAATTAAATGAATGAGTTAGCAGGAGAGTTGGTTGGTTGGTTACGTTGCCAGATTGATTAATCAGCCGAAGGACTGGTAGGTGAGTTGTCAGCTATTTAGTGCCTTGGTGAGCACGTACGACTTAGGTAATTATTTGGTTGGCTTTTCGTGTCTTTGTAGGTCAGTTTTCTTAGATGTCATTTTCTCATTCTCTGCCCTTGAGCTATTTCATAAATGTCCATGGGTCAAGTGACCTCCAAGTGTGTAGCTCTAAACGAGACCACGTGACCTGCTGCCTGTTTATAGGTCATCTTCACCTACATGCTTAGTGGGCTCCCCGAACTCTGTGCACCCAGAAGAGAACTTCCCATTCTCCTACCTAGGCCTGCTGCTTCTCTCCTGGGCCTCACCTGCCCTTCTGCTGCTCCGGACAGAGGCTGGGGCCGCCACTGCCTCATTCCTCTCCATTCTCCTCTCTGACCAACACCAAGGCCTGTCAGAATGACTGTCTCCTAGCCATCTTCATAACACCTTGGCGCAGGTTGCCATTGCCTCTCAGCCTGCCTGTGGCAGAAGCTTCCAGATGGCTCACCGTGGCCCCCCACCTGCTCCCTCACCCCAGCCTTCATAGAGGGGGCAGCCCCTCCTGTTTAAATCCTCCGCCGGGCCCCATGGCTCTCTGGGCCAGGTTCAGATTCCCTAACAGGGGCCATGAGGCCTTTTGCCATCCGGCCCTGTGTTCCTCTCTGCCCATCTCACGCTGTGTTCACTCCTCTCCCTAGCCAGCCCCTCCTTACAGAACTCCTCGACACCTCGCACCCTGTCTTAGCTGCGAGCCTTTGCCCATGCCACTCCAATGCCCAGGACTTGGCCAGCCTTCTATTCTTGACCTAAATTTTCCACCTTATGGGAAAGCCTCCTGCCCCCTCCTCTAGGTCTTTGGCTTCTTCCCTGCAATCTCAGGGCTCACACTTCACCTGTGGCAACACTCCTCACACTTCATAGTAGTTGCATAATCATTTGTTTTTCTTATTGAGAGCAGGGATCATGCCACACGTAGGAGGCATAGTAGGAATTGAACAAATCTTGGTTCGGTGGCTGGTTGGTGGTTATTTGCCACTTACTGTATCCTGCCTACTGTGTGGTGAGGAGGAAGGGGCCAGGATTCCAGACTGTCTCGTGTCCTTGACTTCCTGCTCTGTCCACCTCTCCTCTGCTTCTGTGGCACTGTCCCAGCACTGTTCTTGGGTTCCTGCCTGCCTCAGGCTGCTTGGAGGCTCTTCTTTGGGCTGAGGGGGTCAGCCATGAGGGCAAGGGGACCCTACATGGTGACGCACGGGAGCTGGATTTGAATGGGAGAGAAGGGATCACTCAGGCAACTCCACATCCTCCATATGCTCAGCCCGGGGTTTGTTTTCCCGGAATAAGGACAGAGCAAGGACTAGGGTGGGTAGCAAGGACTAGGGTGGGTAATCTACGAACATGGAGGCTCAGCCAGAAAAGTGAAAGGTGTTTTATCCATGGCTGGTTTGTATTTCTCACTCCCTCTGTTTACTCTTTGCTGCTGTGAGGCTGGGGAAATTAGGAAAGCTGAGGCAGGGTGAGGGGCGGGGTTGCTATCGGGAGGAGGTAGTGGGTGCCAGGTGTCAGCCTCAGGCTGTCAACAGGGAGGATCACCAGTCTTCACAAGCACGAAAGGCCACACTCAGAGTTACCGGCATCTCTCCCCTCCTTCTCCTCTTTAGCCTCCACACCCCATCTCCAAATTCAAGCTCTACCCCACCCCACCCCTTAACAGATGATGGCAACTATAACACCTTTTCCTCTATCCATCCAATCATGGGTTTATTAAATAAATACTTATCAAGCATCTACCTAAAGTGTAGAAGGTGCTGGGGATCTAGTGGAAAGGTAGATAGATGAACTCCCCAGTGTTCGTTCATACCACAGTGTGTACTGAATACCCGCTCTGTGTCTGGCACTGTGCTACACACTGAGAATACGCCAGAGAGTGAGATCCAGTCCCTCCTTTTCTCTCTCCTTCTCTCTCATTTGTTCATTCATTCATTTGTTAATTCACTCACACGCTCAATCGTAAACATGTTTGTGTTGACCTGGTTACAGAGCCTGATGCACTTGGCAGACAGTTCTCTTCATCTCTGGCAGAACTTGGTGCATATTTCAGGCCTCAGTGCTGTTTATAGAGGCTGGAAGCAGAATTTGCCCCACCCTCTGCTGTTTCCAGAGCCATTTGTGGCTGTCAGATCCTGCCTGATGTCTTGTCTGCATCCTCAGAGATCTGGTTCCTGCAGCTAGGCAGGCAGACAGATAGACAGCTGAGCTCCACCTTCCTGCCTGCTCAGTCCCATTTGCTTCTCCCCCAAGGCTCACTGACACCCCAGATGGCATTCATCAGATCCCCAAATGCCCGCTCTGCAAAGTGGTCTTGCTGACGTGCCCTTCCCAGCAGTCTAGTCCCCACCAGAAGGGAGAAGGGGCACGACCTGGCTGAGTCCCTCTCCATGTCCCTGTGACACTCGGTTGTCTCTGATCTCAGCTGTCCCAGTAGCCCTGGGCAACAGAAGGTGTGTGTAGACAGGCTGCTGGGTTACACATTAACAGCCGTGAGTGGAAGGGCTGATGGGTAGCAAGTGCACTTGAGTCTCACGGCTGCCCATGGGCCGCGGCTGCTGCTTCAGGTCCTCCCGCAGCCCCAAGATGATCTCGCCGCCCATGGTGATGAAGATGCAAAAAGTACTGCAGAAGGAGGTGGTGCGAGAGTTCCTGGCTGAGCTCATGAGCACATACGTCATGATGGTGAGTGGGTGGGCTCTGAGGAAGGGGCATGAGCCCCAGGACTTCAAAAAGGTGAGGCTCAGTAAGGTCAACCCACGACCCCCTCCCTCTGCGGGCCCCCTGGGTCCCATTGTCCATGCCTCAGTCTCTGAGCTGGGAAGCTGAGGGTAAAGCATAGGAAAGTAACAAAAGAGCTCTGTCTGTCTCACCAAGTCTTTCTGGCACATTAAGGGCTTATAATATTTGGGGGCAGAACAAAATTATGGGCTGGGGGGGTGTCAGGAGGTGTGGCTGGAAACCAAGGGAGATGGGAAACCGAGAGGAGAGTGGAGGGAGGGTTTAGTGCCAGGTGTTGAGAATCAATCCTGAGACACTGAAAGTTTACACGCAGTGGAAGGAGGTGGTCAGATTTGGCTTTTAGAAGAAAATTCTGGCTGTTGTGCAGAGTCTCAGCAGAATGGGCAAGGTCAGAGGCAGGGGAACAAGTTAAGAGACTTGCAAAAACCTAGGATAGAGAGAGGGTGGCGAATGGTCCGGAGATGGAGAAGAAACCACACATTCGAGGCAGGTATACAAGATGGAATGAAGATTTGATAAGCCATAAAGTACCAAGTAGGGTAGGTACCCTACTGAAAGTAGGGTAAGTACCAAGGGGGACATTCTGAGCCCAGGGTCCAGAGCAGGGTGAGAGGTGAGGTCAGTTTGGACGTGATCAGGTGCGGCGCCAGGGAAGAAATCCCAGAGGTGGTTCGATACGGCGGTCTCAAGCTCCCGAGAGTGGCTTGGGCTGGAAGTACAGAGTTTGCCAGGGTATGGATGGTGGTTATCAAAGCCGTTCAGTGAGAGTATATAGGGAAGGAGAGTCAGTTGAGAACAGAGCCCTGGAGAGGCACACAAAGTGGCCTGAGAAGTGTTGGCCAGAGATGTGGGTGGAGACCAGGCCACAGAAGGGGGGTGGGGATTCACAGGAGGAGGGAGTGGTCAGTGGCATGGGGGGCTTCAGCCAGCCAGAAAAGGTGAGAAGTGACAAAGGTCTGTAGGGGTTGATGAAATGGAAGACACTGGGGACTTGGCAAGGGTTCCTTTAGTGGACGATGGGAAAGAAGATCGCAAGCAGGAGGCAGTGTCTTAGGAACTCCCTCTCTTCAACTGCTTCAGCCCAGCCACCCTCGCCAGCCGGGCCCCTAAGCGGTGCCATGCTTGTTTGCACCTTATGGAGGATCCAGGTCGCTGAGAGAAAGGAGCAGCCTCTGGGAGGAGAAGTAAAGGCAGTCAGGAGCACGCCAGAGGAAGTGGGGAGAGAGGCAGTGTGTGTGGTTGTGTGTGTGTGTGTGTGTGTTGAGCCACAGGGTAGGAGATGATGGGACCCACCGAGCCCAAGGGACTCTGAATATGTGGGTTCTTATCCTGATCCTGCCACCGAGTCACCAGCTGGTGCTGGTCAGATCTCTCCGCGGCTCAGAGCCTATCTTCTCAGTTATAAAACGCGTTAAATGGGGCCTGTGTGGGCTTTGAAGCTGGGTTTGAATGCTGGCTCTGCTATCACGTACCTGTGTGATCTTCTGTAAGCATCTCAACTGTTCAGAAGTTTAGCTTTCTCACTAGTGAACATGGCACTAACATCGAGCTGGCAGGCTTGTGTGAAGAAGGCCAAGAGGCCGACACCCAGTTCACAAGCAGGGCACATGTGTTGGTCTCTGGTCACTATGACAAGGGCTCTCAGCTGCCCTCCCCTCCCTGCCTCCCACCCTTTCCTCAACCCCCACTACTCACCCTGCTGCTTGGCTCCCGAGCTATGAAGGAGCTATGACAACACTCGATTCTGCTGTGTCTTAATCCAGAGCAAAGTAATTCATTACATTCCTGCTCCATGAGGGCTGTTAAACCTTGGAACCGAGGAGGCAGGAGGGTGCCTCCTTGAAGAGCTCTTAGGGAAAACAGGCACCACCCGCGTCCATTGATGCCTGCCCGTGTCTGCGTTTCTCTTCATTTTATCAAGATTATTATTGAGCACCTACTGCATACCTGGTGCTGATGCTAAACCAAGCCCCTTACATGCAGCATCTTCCCAAACCCTCACAACAGTCCTGTGAATGTCTATTATTATTCCCATTTCTCGGATGGGGAAACTGAGTCTCCACGAGACTGTTAGTTGCCCAAGGTCATATGTTAAGTTACGATTAAATCCAGTGCAGTCTAATATCACAGTCTTGATTCTTAATCTCTATGCTGTGTCCCTTAGCCTAGCTCAGGCACAATTTCTAGCACCCTGGCTGTGAACTGTCTCCTGGCTGAGGTAATGCCCTCGCCATAGGTCATCCATGACCTCACCCTGGGCCTGGTTTTCCCACCTACAGAGTGGAGCACAAACATTTGCCATTCAGATTTGCTGTGAGAATTAAAAAGAAGTAACACATGGTACTGGCCAGGCAGCTCAGTGGGTTAGAGCTTTGTCCTGATACGCTGGGTGTGTAGGTTTGATCCCCGGTCAGGGCACATAGAAGGAGCAACTAAGGAGTGCATGGATGGGTGGAACAGCAAGTCAGCGTTTCTCTCTCTCTCTCCTCTTTCCTTTCTCTCTTAAAAAAAAAAAAGGTAACACATGTAAAAGAACTTTGGAAAGTTTAAGCTCATATAGGACATTGTATTGTTATTTTTAGTTGCTGGGCCTGTGCCAAGTTGATCAGGAAGGACACTCAGTGAGTCATCAGGGTGAAGGTTTTCCTAGAAAAGCAAGTGTGACCTTGGGCTCCCTTTACTGCAGCCAGGTCGAGGGAAATGGATTGTTCTACTCAATTCCACTCTGCAGCTCTGGGGGTATTGTCCCTGGGGCTGGCCTTGTGGCTGCTGGAGGGACTCAGCAGGCTGGGCCACATTCACTGGCCAGGGAGGGGAGGAGCTGGGCCATCAGGGCTCTGAAAAATCAGCTGTAGAAGGGAACCAAACCGTAGGGCAGGGGTTGCAAACTCGCAGGCGCCAGAGGCCAGAGCAGCAGTGCAGAGTGGTGAGGCCCGTGGTTAACACTGCGGGCCTGTGCGAGGACGCAGCCGCCCCAGTCCCAACTGTTGCCGTGCAGGCCAGCATGCAAGGCCAGCGTTACCTGGGCTTCTGATTTCTCAGGAGAAGCTGAAACTGATGATCAAAACCAAGTTATCCAGCTCTGACTATTGCGTCTCAGTGGGTTGAGCAACAGACTGTGAAACGAAAGGTCGTCGGTCTGATGCCCAGTCAGGGCGCATCCCTGGATGGCGGGCCAGGGCATGTGAGAGCAACTGATCGATGTCTCTCTCACACATTGATGTTTCTCTTCCTTCCTTTCTCCTCCTCTCTCGAAAAATAAATAAATAAATAAATAAATAAATAAATAAACACGCCCAAGTTATCCAAACAAAACATGTGTGCTGGATGAATTGGGCCTCTGAACTGCCGATTGGCAGCCATGGCCACAGGAGATCATGTGGGATTTATTCACTCATTCATTATTTTTAGCAAATGGTTCTGAGCTCCTACTTGGAAATAAGGACTCTCGTTCTTCAGATCCTCTATGCTGGCTCCACTCCCTGTACGCCCTGACACCCCCTCAACCTGTCAGCCTGTCCTGGCCTCACTCCCCGCTCTCACACCCCACCTGTTCTGTCCTCTCCTGCCTCATCCTACCCTTGACCCTAAGCTGGCCTGCCTCTGGGCCCCTCTGCACCTGTCCTGGGGCTCTTGGGGAACCCGGTGGGCCCCCTCCTCTCCTGGGCTGTTTCACGTTTCCTCAGACTCCCCCAGAGCTGCTCTGTTCTCTGCCTGCCCTTTAATCAGCAGGCGGCTTCCTTGCCAGCTTGACAGGGAAAACCATCAGGCGGGCTTCCTCTCTCTGGCCGTCTGGCTCCTCACCCACCAGGCCCCTTCACCACCAGACACACCTGCCTGTGCGTGCTCCAATCAGGGCAGGGCCCCTCCCTCGGTCCTGGAGGGTCCTGCACTCCCGGGCCCGTCCCACCCCGTACTCTACTGGGGTACTTTGCTCCGTCCTTTTCTCTCTCTCCAGCTTCTCCCTCTCTTAACTTTTTTCCTAACCCTCACCTAAGGATATGTTTATTTTATTTATTTATTTCAAATATTTTATTTATTTACTTTTAGAGAGAGGGGAAGGGAGGGAGAAAGAGAAGGAGAGAAACATTGATGTGAGAGACACATGCCCCCAACCAGTGACCTGGCCCATAACCCAGGCATGTGTCCTGACTGGGAATTGAACCAGTGACTTTTTGGTTTGCAGGATGGTGCTCACCCAGTACCAGTCAGTGATGTTTATTGATTTTAGAGAGAGAGAAAGAGAAAAAGAGTGAAAAACAAACATCAATTGGTTGCCTCCCAGATGCACCCAGACCAGGGATTGAACCCACAATCTAAGTATGTGCCCTGACTGGGGATCATGCAACCCTTTGGTGCATGGGACAATGCTCCAACCAGCTGAGCCACCTGGCCAGGACACTCTTACCCTTAACTTACCAGAGTCGCTCTGCTTAAAACAGCACAACGCAGAACAAAACATCCCTCCCTTCATCCCATGAGCCCCTTCGTTTTTCACAACCTCGCTCCCTCCCTTCTCAGGCAGGTTCATGAAGGGAGGTCTACAACGGAACCCTTCAACCCTTCCTCACTGCCTCCTCACTTCTCAGTCTCTCGAACCTGATTCTGTCCCCATGGCCTGATGACACAGTGCTCGCCACATTACTAGTGACGGCTGGATTGTCACATCCAAAGGGATGCTTTCTAGGCCTTCGTGCATTAAACCCAAAGGCTGCACATGACTGATGACACCGCCCTCGGGAAACTCCGTTCCTCCCTGGTGTCCAGGACGCTTTCTCTCTTTGTTCTCCCTCATTTCAACACCCACTCCAGCTGGGGCTTCTGACACCTGCCCCTGCGGGCAGAGGTGCTGCCTCGGTTTGGCTCTCAGCACCTTTCCACCCTGCGTCCTCCCACTGGCCTGCGTCCTCCGTGACAGCTTGAGAGGTGGCCCTCATGCCACAGTTCTCCAAGTTTTCTTCTTCAAAAACTTTAGATAAGAACTGCCCAAGGGGCCCTGGCTGGTGTAGCTCAGTGGATTGAGCATGGGCCTGTGAACCAAAGGATTGCAGTTCAATTCCCAGTCAGGGCACATGCCTGGGTTGCAGGCCAGTTCCCAGCAGGGGACGCACGAGAGGCAACCATACATTGATATTTCTCTCCCTCTCTCCTTCCCTTCCCCTCTAAAGGTAAATAAATACAAATCTAAAAAAAAAGAACTGTCCAAGGGGAAAACAATATGAGCTACATATATAATTTAAAATGCTCTAGTAGCCACATTAAAAAGGTAAAAAGTGATAGGTGAAGCTAATTTTAATAATTGTTATATTTAACCTACCTTGCCAAAATATTACCAGTTCAACATGCAGTAAATATATAATTATTAATAAGATTCTACATTCTCCTTTTCCTACTAAGTCTTTTTTTGGTAAAAATTGATTTGCTTTAAAAAGAGAGAAATATTGATTTGTTGTTCCATTTAGTTATGATTCATTAGTTGATTTTTTTATGTGCTCTGATTGGAGATTGAACCCACAACCTTGGCATATGGGGATGACACTCTAACCCACTGAGCTACCCGGCCCCACTAAGGTTTTGAAATCCGGTTTGAAGTCCTTACACTTCCAGCAGATCTTGCCCTGGCTGTGTGGCTCAGTTGCTTAGAGCACTGTCCTGTAAACCGAAAGGCTGTGGGTTTGATGCCTGGTCAGGGCACATGCCTAGTTTACAGGTTAGGTCTCCTGTCAGGGTGCATTCAAGAGGCAGCCAATAGATGTTTCTTTCCATTCCTTCTCCTTTCTCTAAAAACTCAGGGAGCATGTCCTCAGGGGAGGCTAAAGAAAAAGTGCAGATCTTACTCAGGACTAGCCACCTTCCAAGTGCATAGTGGCCACATGGGGCTAGTGGCCATCATATTGGATGATACGAATCTAGACTCTGGTTTCCAACAGTCTGGAGACCTAGAGGCCCCTCAGAGTCGATGTGTCCAAAACAAACAGACTTTTCAAAGGAGGTGCCATCTGAGCGTGGCCTTGGAGTATCACATTTCCGGGATCTAGGGTCAGGTACTCCAGACAGGCAAGACACAGGTGCGTGAAGAAACAGGGCACGCGGGGGCGGGGCGGTTGTTTGGCCCGAGGCTGTCTGGCAGGCCGACTGCCTGGGCTCAGATCCCCGCGCACCACGTGCGGCCGCGCCGCTCCACTGAACCGGCCACTCCGCTTCTCTAAGCCTCGGACTGCACACGTGTTAAGTGGGGAGATTACAAATACCTGATGCACATGTTGGTGCAGGGGTTAAAGGAAGTGACAGATGCAACTTTTACCAGTGCCTACCACACAGTAAGTTCTCCGTAAATTGTCGTTATTATTGAGAAGTAATACTATTGCTGAATATAGAGAACACTGGAGCAGATATCAAACTGAGAGGCAGAAATGACCCAGGGTCTTGAATGGTGGCCTCCTGAATTTGGACTTGATCCTAGAAATGAAGGGGAGCCAGTGAAGGTTGGAATGAGGGGTAGACATGGTCAGATCTCTGTGTTAGAAAAGGTCGCTCTTGCTACGAGGAGGAGGCTGAGCAAGATCTGGGCAGAATGTGAGCAGAACTGACTGGGTGTGAGGTGGAGGGACAGAAAGCTCTCATCTGTGACTTCCAGTGACTTCCAAGTTTTCGGTTTGGCCGATGGGAATGAGAACATAGGACAAGGATCACATTTTCTGAGATGGTGAGCTTTCAACATAGAGCCTGAGATGCCTGTGGAACACCCATACTTCCAGTGGGTTCTGGACACAGGGATCTGGCTCCCAGGTGCAGGTTTGGGGAATTTTAGCGCAGTAGACTTATCTGAAGCTGCAGGCCTGGTAAGAAGACCCAGGAAGAGTGTCTGCAGTGAGATGTGAAAGGGGCCAGGGATGGAGCCCTGGGATCATCCACATTTATGAGGCAGATGAGGGAAAAAGATGTGGGAAGGAGCTGTAGAGAGGGAGAGGCTACAGAGGTGAGAGGAAAACCAGGAGAGAGAGGTGCCGTGGAAGCCAAGAGGAGGGACTCTCCGGGAGCAGAGTGGTTAAGGGGGTCAAAGTCAGCAGAGTCAAGTAAGACGATGTGTGAAGGGACCTTTGGGAAATCAGAAGGGTGAACCCCCAGAGAGCTCTGTTGGTGAGATGTGGAAGAAGAAGCCAGGTCGAGGAGGGGGAGCAAGGGAAGGGATAAAGGAACCGATGGGTGGGTTCTTTCCTGGAGCCTGGCTGACACTGAGGGCGTGTCCCAGACTCCGCAGGTGGACTAGGAGGCTGGGCTGAGGTGGGAAGATTTACTTTTAGGAAGACAGAGACCTGAGTCTGTGGGAGCCAGTCAAGGGGAGCATGGAAGATACAGGCAAGAGGGAGGCCTCTGCAGAGGGAGGGAGAGGCTGGGTGCAGGCACAAGAGCCGAGGGACAGTCTGGTGTGGATTCAGGTGGGCAGCTGCAGGGGGCTGGGTGAGGGCCCAGCTTCAGGTCTATAACTGAGGGCCTCTAATCTCCCTGTGAAGGGTGTCACCTGAGGACATCCAAAAGTCAGGGATGGGCAAGGGCTAGAATGACACCCGAGGGCCATGGGAATATTGCTGAGGGCAAGAGCATTAGAATCTTCTGGCTTCCAGGGCTGATGAGTGTGGGGGCAGGGGCCTGTGGATGGGGGCCTTGGCGTGAAGTCTGGGGATGCCCCCGAGCAAACTTCCTTCAGGTTGGGCTGCAGTGTGAGGCGCTCTGAGGGGTTCCATCCACACCAGCCATACCCTCCTTGAAGCCCGGACCCCTCCCCTGAACTCCAGGTGGACTCGGGGTCCAGGACCCTGGATGTGTTTGTAAGAGCCCCCGACTCCACTGCCCCACATCGGCTCCTTTTGCGCCCCCCACCCAGCCCTTGCTGGTCAGGTCTTGGAGGACTTGACGGGCGAGGGGGAGGGTCACGAGGAGGAAGGCCTACGGAGGGAGACTGAATGGCAGAGGGTCTCCGAAGGCAGTCTGGGGAGGCCCAGGGTGCGAGGGTGAGGAGCTCGAGCCGAGCTCTGAGCCCTCTGCTGAGGCTGGGGCTCTGGGCAGGCAGTCCCTCAGCCACCCTCCCTCGCAGGTGTTTGGCCTTGGCTCCGTGGCCCATATGGTTCTAGGGGACAAACTTGGGAGCTACCTCGGTGTCAACTTGGGTTTTGGCTTCGGAGTCACCATGGGAGTGCACGTGGCAGGAAAGGTCTCTGGTGAGTGAGCCTGCGCCCTGCCTGCCCCGCATCCCCTGCAGGTCCCCCCTCCCGCCTCCAGCCAGCCCCTTCTCCCACTCCGCCTGTGCCCTGGCCGCCCAGAGGGAGGGCACCCGAAACCCCCTTCCTCTGTCTTGCCCAGACTCTTCAGGAGCCTCCTTCACCCACCGTTTTTTACGTGGGGTCAACTCAGGCTGTTTGACTTCTCTACTCCTCACTTCCCTTAATGGTCAAATGGAGACGGAGGTCCCTGCCTCGGTGGGTCCTTGTGAGAAATAAAGGAGGATGTGATGCATAAATGCTTGCTTCATTATTATTGTTGCTGCTGTCAGTGTTATTTGTCATTGTTGGTTTCTGCTCTCACTCTGGTGACATGCTCACCCTCCCCGCAGGGGCCCACATGAATGCGGCCGTGACCTTCGCCAGCTGTGCACTAGGCCGCATGGCCTGGAAGAAGTTTCCTGTGTATGTACTGGGTCAGTTCACAGGTTCCTTCCTGGCTGCTGCCACCATCCACTTCCTCTTCTACGGTGAGTGTCCTCCCTGGGTTGTCTGCTGCTGGCCTCAGCCTCCTCCTTAGAAGTGTGGGAAGATGCTGTCTCAGCGTCCCATCCGTGAAAACGCCTGGGAGAGCAGCGCCCTGGAGTTGCTGCCCGTCCCTTCTTCCTACGACCATATTTCTGGGACTCCAGTGGGGCTGAGGTAGGGGCAGGCTGACACTCCATCTGTGCCTCCCCAGGAGCCATTATGGACTACTCGGGCGGACATCTCACAGTGACTGGCCCGATTGCCACTGCTAACATTTTTGCCACGTATCTTCCTGACCACATGACATTATGGAGGGGCTTCCTGGATGAGGTCAGTGGTTCAGGGTGGTTGACCCTCCTCCTGCCCTCCCGATCTCAGGAAGGGACCAGCAGGCAGCCCCTCACCATAGAGAGGAAAAGTACTCTGGTGGGGACTGTACCGAGACACGTCTCTGCCTGTGGGTTTGGACTGGGGGCCCCGCCAAGGCTCTGCTAGGGGCCCTGGGTGGCTGCCATGGCATCTGCTCTCCCAGGTGATAGTTACAGGGATGCTCCAGCTGTGTCTCTTTGCCATCACGGACAATGGGAACAACCCAGCACTGCAAGGGACACAGGCCCTGGTGATCGGCGTCCTCATCGTCACCATTGGAGTGTCCCTGGGCATGAACTCCGGATACGCCATCAACCCGTCGCGGGACCTGCCTCCGCGTTTCTTCACCTTTCTTGCCGGCTGGGGCACACAGGTCTTCAGGTACCGCCCTGCCAAGCACGTTCCGTCAGGTTTTCTATGAGTTCCCGCATGTAGAGGGAGGGGTGATGGGAGGAGCACCACTGGAGAGTCCTGCGCAGCTGCCGGGTGGCCCGGAGTGGGTCCCGCCCTTCCCTGTGACCAGCGTGGATCCTGCTCCTGAGCTGAAGGATCCGCTCTGGCCCCAGATCCGCCCCTGTCCCTGAATCAGGATGAAGCTGACAGGGCCCCAGCCTCAGGGGGCGCTCCAGGGCCCGGGTGCAGCTCACTCACTAGTCTCAGGTCCTACTTCCTGTCTGGGCACGAGGCGGATGCAGGTTTCCTCCCGGACACCGGCCCCCTTACCAGGCCTCTGCCTTTTGCCTGCAGGGCCAGGGACTGGTGGTGGGTGCCAGTGGTGGCACCGCTGCTGGGTGCTTACCTAGGTGGCATCATCTACTTGGTCTTCATCGGCTGCCCCATTCCACGGGAGCCCCAGACACTGGAGAACCACACGGGGAGTGAAGAGCACAGAATACCTGTGTTGCCCAAGGCCATGCCTCACCAAACAGAGGTCTCGTCCCTCGCCTCTGGCTCTGTGTCTCCCCTCACCTCTGTCTCTGTGTCTCCCCACAGCAGACCTTCATTCCCGTCCATCCCCCCCTTAAGTGACTCCATTCGAATACAGCAATTCTAAGTAAGGTCTTTTGTGAATCCATCTCCACCCCAATAAAAAAAGCCTTGTCCCACAGTGGCACCCTCGCTTCCTGGGTGCCTCCTATGGGTGGGCTTCCCTCCTGGATTCTTCTAGGAGCGTTACAGCCCAGAGCTGGAGCATAAAGCCAAGAGGGCCTCCAACTGCCTCCTGTCCTGGGAGCTGGGGCGCCCCCTAGGGGAGCTGTGGAGAAGGGCCAACAGGAAGAACAGGAGATTAGAAAGATGCCAGGCACAGAACAGTGGACTTTCAGGCACATGGTAGGAAAGGAATGGTTTGGGGAAAGGACAACAGCGAGCTGGTGGGGGGTCAGCTCTGGGGACACCCGGAGCTGCCCTGAGATAGGACTCGAGACTCTCCCTCAGTTCTGGCCTTTGCACCAGAATGGACTACGGCCCAGGTCCAAGTGTGTAGATAGGAGGTTTTTTGTTTGTTTGTTTGTTTGTTTTTCATTATTGCCTCACCTGGAAGACTTTTAGATTTTTTAAAAATCGCATAATATTTTAATACCACAGATACACTGTATATTCATTTATATATTTTATGAGTATCTGTGCTTTATACAAAAATAGTAAGATCTTTTTCATTTTCCCCTTCCAAGAATCAATTTTCTCTCCCTTGGGAGCAATAATTGCCCCCACCCTTGACCATGTCAGATGTAGACAGACTGAAAGTATATAAGGGGTTAGACTCTTCTCCTTCCTCCTGGTGCCAGGGCGCTTCCACACTGAGAAATTCCAGGGTTAGAAAGAAAGGTGCAGAGGGAAATCCTTCTAAAAGGTGTAGAGCCAGGAATCAGCCTCATGGGGCTCAGGGGGACAGGCCCCGAGGCTGGGTGGGGGGCGGGCCGCCAGGAATCACCCTGCTTTCTGGGATTCGGAAGCCAGCATCACTTGTGGTAGCTGTCACTGCTTGTGCGTTTATCCTTTCAGCAGTTATCGAGCACCTCCTGTGTATCATAGGCCTTGTCTGGGCATAGGAGTTGCTGCAGTGGATGAGGCTGGGTCCCCACCTTCAAGGAGCACAGTTTAAAGAGACAGGAGGAAAACCTAAGTGGTGGAGAGGGGCCGCATGGAGGCTGTGGGGCTCATACCTTGAAGCCCAGGCCAAGAGGAGACACAGAAGAGTTGGGGCCGGGGTATACTTTCTGGGGCCGGGCGCTGCATTTTACAGTTAGAGCGGCTGAGGGGACCGGAGGCAGAGGAGGCCGGCACTCTTCTGGAGGTGAGAGGAGATTTAGAAAGTCCACCTGAGCTGCTGTGTGCAGGTTGGTGGAAAAGGAGGAGACCGGAGCCTGCACGGAGTGTGGTGGGAGGCAGTCATCCTGCAGGGGCAGCAGGGCACCTAATTAGTTGGTCCTGGTGGGTAGAACCCACAGGACCTGGGCTGGATTGAATGAAGGAGTCGGGGACGACATGGCAGGAGTCAGGCCCAGCTTCCAGTTTCTGGCTCGGGCCTGGGACACTGGAGGCGTCCCCACTGAGAGCAGAGCTTGGGAGAGGAACGGGTTTGGAAAGGGAGATCATACGTTGTAATGCGGGCATATTGAACTTGAGTTGCGTGTCGGACATGGAGGCCAAGAGGTGTGTAGTCTTGGGCAAGTTACTCAGCCTCTCTGGGCCTCCTTTTTCTCTTTTGTAAAATTTCCTACCATTTGTGTTGCTGTGAATATTCAATGAAATAAAACACATACATTGCTGAGAACAGTGCTTGGCACAGATAAGTGCTCATGAAACAAGTTGCCTGTAGAGTCTGTGGTGCAGGGAAGGGCCGGGGTGGAGACTGAAGAGCTGTGGCTCTGGGGCTGGGGCCACGGAACAGTGAAGGGGGGACAGTGCGGGGGTCAGCGAGCAGGGCCCTGGGTGCGCAGCTGGGAGGTGGCGCCGAGGGGTGGAGTAGGCACCCCAAGAGGTTTGGCGAAGGAGGGGGCGCTGGAACGACCCGTGTCCAGCCACGTGGGAATACAGTAAGGCACCGCAGCCACCCGCCACAGCACAGATAAAGCCTGGAGGCATAAAAAGCAACGCAGGAGACTGTATACAGTAAGACACTGGGTACGCTGTTGACAAACAAGCAGAGAGGTAACATATTCTTCAGGCAAACAGATGTGATAAAACTACGTAGAAATAAATAAAGAAGGGCACACTCCCCCCCCCCCCCGGAGCTGCGTCTTCCCCTTCCCCCCTCCCCCACAGTGATCCCGGGAGCCGATACTTGCAACCAGGGGAGCAGAGGGCAGCAGCAGCGCGTCCCGGGCTGACCCCCGAGCCTGTCCCCAAGGCCCCCTTTTCTCTGACTTCGCAGTGAGCTGACAGCAGCGCCGCCTCGGCCCACTGCTTTTCATGACGTTTCTAGGCAGCCAAGGCGGCCCTGCCTGACGTCTCTCCAGTTGCCACTCTGGGCCTCGGTCCTTCCTTGTTTCACTGTCCCCAGCTTTAATGAACGTACTCTCGAAAAAGTCCTTTTTTCTTTTGAAGAGGGCAAATTATATTTATTGTTTACTGAATCCTTGTGTGAAAGGGTATCAAATGTGTAAACTGCTACCACTGTATTTATGATTTATAAACCTCATTAGTATTTGTAGAAGTGAGAATATGAACATGACTACCTGTTTAAAGGAAGAAAAGAAGAGATGATTCTTCCAGGGATATGAGGTCACAGAAATGGGAGATGAGATGGGGAGGAGCATGGGCGTGGTGCAAGCTATTCATAATCTTCCAGTTTTGGAGTTGGGGGAAAATTTACGGGTTTGTTATATGATTGCGCTTTATAACATATAACTGTGATATATACTTGCATGTATCATATATTTTAAAAGGTGAAGAAGAAATAGCTGTAGCATGAGAACAGGGGTGGGAAGATGGAGGGTTGGAACCTGCTGAGATTACGGGGTCTGGGGAGAGGGGAGAGGGTTGAGCCTGAATTCTGTGCTGGGGGAGCTCGGCCAGGGAACCAGGCCCGGGAGTGACCAGGGAAGGGCCCACGGCTGGAGGTCCCAGCAGCTGCGTTTCTCTGTGACCCCGGACAAGCCCGTCTTGTCCTCTTTCTCAGCCTCGGTGGCTCTGTGAACACGAAGAGGGCGTCCTTTCTAATTCCTGGTGTTTCAGAACAGCACAGTCATAGGAGGACCGTGCTGTTCACAGTGCTCAGTCACAGGTGGGGGAGGCAGGTATGGGCTCCAGGGCTGCGCCCCTCTGTCCTCACTGACTACTTCGCCCTCTGCCATCCTCATGTCTCTGGAAGGTGGCCTTGGTGCCCTGGCAGCCAGCAGGTCACTCCAGAAGCCCTGCCTGCAGGCCACTGTGCCGTCACAGACCTGCACTAGGCCCGTTACCCATAACACCCTGCAGGCTACACGAGCCCTGACCCCGGTCACAGAGCATATCTACACGCAGAACACAGACCCCTTCCACTGTCTTCACAGACACTGGCTGAAAGCCGACAACACGCCAGACACCATCCCAGTGCCGAGGGTTCAGACACAGAGAAGACACACGAAAGGCCTTGTTCTCACGGAGCTGACATTCTGGGCGAAACATGTGGTGTGTTAGTGATACGTGCTAAGGAGGAAAAGCAGGGAAGAGGGATGGTAAGTGTGTGGGGTGTGAAGACAGAGGCCTCACTGAGAGGTGACTGTGAGTAAAGACCCGCAGGGGGTGAGGGAGTGAGTCATGTGGGTGCCTGGGGGGGAAGCACAGCAGGCTGAGGAAGCGGCCAGTGCTAAGGTCCTGAGTGGGAACACGGAGGAGCCGTCGCTGGAACAGAAGGACGGAGGGGACAGTGGGAGAAGGCGGGTTCGGACAGTGGAAGGGTAGGGCGAACTGAGACCAGGCATGCGGAGAGGTGAGATCAAGGCTTGGGGCAGAGGGTGAGGGGGTCTCTGCGGGGGGGAGGCAGGTCTCACTACAGGAAGGGGGGAGGGAGGGAGGCAAAAGGAAGGGGCTGGAGGCTCAGCGGTGGGGTCAGAGGCTGAGAGGAGACTCACAGCTCACAGCCAGGCCTACTCTGGCCCACAGATGATGCCAATAAACCTAGGGTTGCACGTTTGAGTCCTCCGGACACCCAACCACACCCCTGCTGACCCATAAGGAGGATTCCTCAGATGAAAGCTACAACAGGTCTCTAGGACAGCCCTGCCAAGGCCAGCAAAAATGTTTCTGCCCTCCCCTGGTCCCACATTCCCCTACCTGTGTCCTGGCTTCTGGTCCCAGGTTAAGGGGTATTAGAGAGAAAATTATCTGAGGGGGGCCCAATGGTAGGACTAGGGAGACCGGATAGGTGTGGACCCACCAGGAAACACCTTGGAGGTTGGACATGCTGAATCGTAGCTACTTGTGGGATACCCAGGGAAAGACATGGGCCTGGGCTAGAGAGATTTTAAGCCCAGGGTGGCATTCGAAGGAGCACCCATGTTTCAGGGATAGTTAAAGGGGAGGAGGCAGCCAAGTTCCATCATCTCCCCAGGCCCTAGAGTCTGAATATTCTGGGGCCTCAGGACGTTCAGATGGCTCAGGGCAGGTAAGAGAAGCCCACACTCTCCTAGGACACCTGGAGGAAAAATCCAGAGACCACCCCACGACTCCCTGCAGCTTCAGCCCCCAGCGCTGGCTTGGGAAGCTTGGACTCCTGGCCTGTGCTCAGCTCCCTGCCCTCCAGATGATAGAGAGCCCAGGATACAGTCCTTGGACCTTTTCTCTTCCACCACCTACAGCCCAACATGGTTTCACCAGCCACCAAATACCACTCTATTCCAACAGCTCCCCAAACTAGATTTCCATCCCAATTCTGTTTCTGGACTTTGGACTCCCGCGTACAACCACCTGGACAGATTTTCACCCCCCACCAAGCCTGCTCTTCCCACACTCCTGTCTCAGCGAATGGCCAATTCATCTTCCCATTGCTCAGGCCAAAAACTCTGTAGTCATCATCCCTGACTCCTCTCTCTCTCACACCCTACACTGCAGCTATCAGCAAATCCTATAGGTGTTAACCTGCAAAACGTACCTGGAACCCAACCACTTCCCACCACGCCGGGT